AAAACAGAAAAGGAAAGGAAGGAAAATAAGGTCGTATAGAAGCCATAGTGGCAAGTCAAGGCCCTATGTCTACAATCGTGTATAAAAGGAATTATGCCCTGAATGCTTATATTAAATTTGTTAAAGCTGTTGATAAAAACCAATCTCTTAACAAGTTTACTAGTTAGGAGAGGAAGACTTTATTCGTGGACAGATAAATATTATTTCAAAAACCAGAAGACCTTTTCAAAGGGGCAACAGAGACAAACATATGCAATATGTTTGCAACAGCTGTAGATGAGGACCATTTGGTCCATTCACATTTACCATCTCGTAGCAGCTCTGCCATCCCATCGGGACCATCCGTTTGTAGGGAAATTTGAGGACTATCCTGTCATAGTTACTTATGCTCTGGAGAAATCGATGACATTCTATGACGCTTGGCATTATTTTATTTTTTCAGATACAGCAGCGCGTCTTTCCAATCAAAATGACCTTCCGTTTGGCCCATATACAGTCCGTGTGAGAGTTACAGATAGACACGGCCTGTCACACACCACTCCCTTAAATGTCATCATGTGTGACTGCATTACCGAAAACGACTGCTCGCTTCGCGGCGTTTCCAGGACCGGCACCGGGGAGTTCAGACTTGGAAAGTGGGCCATCCTTGCCATCCTGTTGGGCATCGCCTTGCTATTTTGTGAGTCCCTTCTTGCACTCAAATAAGAGCCTTTAAAATAACTTTCCAGACACATTCTGAGAGCAGCACTGTTATCTATAGCTGTTCTCTTGGCTACAGCTGGATGCCTATTGAACACACATATTTAATGTGCGTATGAAAGTGCATTCTGTTGTCTCAGCGTAAACAAAATTTAACACAGGAACACAGCATGCGGCCTGCCTCTGGGCCATATCTGCTGAGGGTGTCTGTTCTGTACTCTGATAGAAGCTATCGGGAATGCGTTTTCGGGAAAGCTGCCTTGGTGGTAGTCATCAGAAATCCACTCCTCCCGCTGTTTGATGTTAAACTCAGGGAATCTCTCTCCTCCCCTAGGCATCCTCTTCACCTTAGTCTGTGGGGCGACTGGGACGGCCAAAAAGCCCAAAGCCTTCCCTGATGATGTAACCCAGCAGAACCTCATTGTGTCCAACACTGAGGCTCCTGGCGATGACAAAGTGGTAAGTAGTTGGTCTTTTTTTTTTTTTTTGTAATTTAAATATTTTAATTGATTTTTAGAGAGAGGGAAAGGGAGAGGGAGAGAGAGAGAAACACCCATGTGAGAACGCATTGATCGTCTGCCTCCTGCCCGCCCCTCACTGGGGATCGGGCCTGCAACCCTGGAGTGTGCCCTGACTGGGTATCGAACTGGCAACCTTTCAGTGCACCGGACGGCGGTTCCCAACCCACTGAGCCACACCAGCCAGGACAGTCTTTTCTAAATAAATGCAAAGGGTAAATTGGCCTGACCAACTATCATCATCTTTTTCTGAACAAAGGTCTTTTGAAATCAGGTAACTTGCTATATATAAATGTCATCGGTCCCATGGAACATATAAAATAACACCGATGCCCACGGCAGTAGATGGCATGTCAGTGTAGCCATCCAGTGTTACTTAATAGTAAAAATCCTTGAGCCTGTCAGCACTATTTTCTATTTCAAATGTTTCATGATTTCACCTTTATATATACATATATATTGAAATCGCTGTTTGTGTTGTAAAAAGGTTTCAATTAATTATTCACAGATCATTAGCATAATTATTTTAATTTTATTTTTTTGGCAACAGCACTAAACTGACTATAAGCTTTGATCCGCGTGAGAAGGACTTTAGTGGAGTCATTCTGGCTCCAATGTGGGTTGGAAAGGAGTCTCGGGTCTCATGTATGAAACATCAAGGCCAGCGAGGGACTACATGGCCCCGGCTTTGATGTCTCGCCTAATATGTCCACAAGGAACAAGTACATTCCCTGCAAAAGGCTTACTTGATGATGAGAGCTGGAGAGATTTAGAAAACAAAAGGGTGTTGGCATCTAGAAAGGTGGGGGAAAATGAAACTCAGGCTCTCTCTGACAACACAACATAGCAAATCAGTGGCAAGCTCTGGGAGCCTTCTTGTCCCTGCTGATGTATTTTTATTTATTTAGATTGCAAAGATTCATTATTGCAACTAAAATTCTTGTTGTTGTTGTGAATCCTCACACGAGGATACTTTCCATTGATTTTTAGAGAGAGTGGAAGGAAGGGGAAGAGAGAGAGAGAGAGAGAGAGAGAAAGAGAGAGAGAGGAGAGAGAGAGAAACATCCATATAAGAGAGACACATCCAATGATATCCCCCCACGCGTGCCCAGGCCATAGCTATTCTTTTATGGCCACTTTATTTCTATTATTCTTGTTTTAGTTGAAGGGGAACCAGCTTTGACACTGAATAAAAATACTGGTCCTCACCTCTGTTTCCCCCTAGACAGGTGGAGGGAGTGGCTTTAAGCAGGGTAAGCCCATGTGAGACAATAGTCCTGGAATGCTGGTGGCGAGGCGGGAGGCGCTGGAGGGTTTTGACAGATGGAGCTGGCAGTCTTGTGGGAAGTGTGTAACGACAGGGTACACAGTGAGCGTTCTGATTTGTCTCAGGTCCAGGCCACTCCACACCCGCGTCTGCGGCTTGCCTGGGTCACTACGTGAAGCCTGGGTTACCATAGCTAGAGCTCAGGGTTGCCAAGGCAGGCTCCTGCCCTCAGAGGGCTCACCTTCTAGCACAGAGATTATCTGCAGGCTGTGTTCTTCTCCTTCTTGTTCTCCTCTGTGGGCCCTGACGCAAGCTGTTGTGTTGCAGTATTCCGCCAACGGCTTCACCCACACGGTGGGCAGCGCGGGCGCCGGGGCCTGTGGCACCGTGGGATCCGGGGTGATCCACGCGGGGCAGGAGACCATCGAAATGGTGAAAGGACACCAGACCTTGGACTCGTGCCGGGGCGGCGAGCAGCACGCGCGGGAGCCCTGCGGGGCAGGACACGTGGAGGTGGAGCCCGGCAGATACACCTACTCCGAGTGGCGCAGCTTCACCCAGCCCCGCCTCGGCGAGGTGCGTTCCCCGAGCGGCCTGCACACCTATTGGTTTCTCCTCAGCTGTCCGAATGATTGCAATTGATTGGCCTAATTGAGTCTATTTTTTAATGATTAGTCTACTCAGTGGAAAGCTGTCTTCCTTCACTTTGACTTAGTTCTGCCCAGCGGATCTTTGCCTCACATGTTGTTTGGCTTTTAGTTCTTCCCGAAATAATGTGAGATATTTAAATTATTTTTAATTATTGTGTTTCTATTTCCCCTGTGGGAAACCGTGGCTTAGACATCAAAAGTGTGATATCAGACGATCCCAGCCGGCACGGCCACCAGGCCTCTCTGCAAAGATCTGCGCAGGCATCCCTTTGGGATCAGCTTAAGGGATGCATTTCCCTTCAGCCATAAGTTTTCAAGGGAAGGTGATGATCGCTTGAAATGATTTCTTGTATCCTTGTGCCCCGTGGGTGGCTTTTAGAAACATGCTCTGTCATGAATGTACAGTGTGATTTATGATACAGACCAATCATGTGCATTTCTTATATGTAGGAATCCATTAGAGGACACACTCTGATTAAAAATTAAACAATCGAAGGTAAATCAAAGCCATTTTTTTTATGTTGGTCAGTCTTGGTGTTGAAAATGCTAATAATAAAAGGCGTTGTGTTCCCCCCTCGGCAGAAAGTGCAGCTGTGCAATCAGGATGACAGTCACGAACACGCCCAAGACTACGTCCTCACCTACCGCTACGAGGGCCAGGGCTCCGCGGCCGGCTCTGTGGGCTGCTGCAGCGAACGGCAGGAAGACGATCGCCTGGACTTTTTGGATCATTTGGAACCCAAATTTAGGACATTGGCAGAAGCGTGCGTGAAGAGATGAGTGCATCCAGATAAGTCTACCAAAGCCCCAGTGACTTTATCGCCTTTTCTTTCTTTTTATTTTTTATTTTTGTTAAATTAAAGACCAGGGTTGGGGTTTTTGTTCTTGTTTTCAATAGAAGACATTATGCTTGCGTTGGGGCTACCCTTTTGTTCTGATGGAATGTCGTAGGGAGATGCACAGTGAGGGAGAAGCGCTGTGAGTGCGTGCACACATTTCTCAGTGCTTCACATAGTTTTCAGTTCCTTGTCTTCCACCCCAAGAGACCCACAGAAATAGAAAGATTAAGGAAGTCTGCGTAATTGTTTACATTTTGGTATAATGACAACAGCCAGTTTACAGTGCAATAAAAATGATTCATGTAAGTCTTTATCGTAGGCTACTTAAAGTATTGCCTAAGGGAAACGTCGTGGAGACCTTGCTTCAACGTCAGCTCCTGTTACCTACTTAATGGTTTGTGTGGTGCTTGAAGACTGTGTACTCCTAGCCACTCGAAAGTGTGTATATACGGTTTACTGCATTATTGATGTTTTTTATTCTTACAACAAGACCTTTCTTCAAAATGCAAAGGGAGATTCCCACCCAGGCGTTGACTCTTATCACTGTTCCATTTTGGTGGAGTTGAGTTTCTAGGTTGTATTCTATATGACATCTTGCACTGAATCTATGTTACCTCTGTTTCCCACCTTGTCAGCAAAAGTTAGGTTTAAAAAGTGCTTTAAGAATGTATTTTTAGCCCTACCCAGTTTGGCTCAGTGGATAGAGCGTTGGCCTGCAGACTGAAAGGTCTCAGGTTCGATTCCAGTCAAGGGCATGTACCTTGGTTGCAGGCACATTCCCAGTAGGGGGTGTGCAGGAGGCAGCTGATCAATGTTTCTCTCTCATCGATGTTTCTAACTCTCTATCCCTCTCCCTTCCTCTCTGTAAAATATCAATAAAATATATTAAAAAAAAGAATGTATTTTTATTCTTACAAAGTTTTGGTCTCTCTCTCTCCCCCCTCTCGTTTCCTCGTTTCTTTCCTCCTTCCTTCTCCCCTCCTTCCTCTTTCTCTCCCTCTCCTCCTCTACTTTCCATTTCTCTCTCTCTTTCCCTTCTCTCTCTTTCTCTCCTCTTTTTTTTTTTTTTTTTTTAATTCTTACTTGGGTTGGAGAATTTAATATATTTTTAAAAGCTATCTCTTTTTTATTCTCTTGTAAAGTGAGTTATCCTGTTTCTGTTTTATGTAAAGGCATGCATTCTTAGTTTTCCTTGAAATCAATGTAATATTGACTTTATTGTTTCAAACACCTTGGCGATTACTTCATTATCTCTTCAACAAAGAACCTTTAATGTTGCCTTTGAAATTATAGAACTGTGTGATTTCTTTTTATTAGATACAACTTTCTATGTTAACAAAATTAATTGTGTAATTAAAATTGGGATGTGGCCATTTTGTATATAAAAAGATATTTACAGTTCATATCTTTAGTGCAAGGATACCAGTTATAAATGCAAAATAGCGATGGTTTTTCAAATAAGCTCTGAAATACAAGGATTGGGAAAGTTCTATAGGAACAGATATTGTATAGCTTTTTGGGCAATATGGCTTGCTATAGCTATGTGTTTGTGAAGTTATTTTTTACTATTTTAAGATTACAGTTCTTAATAATGTAGAGAAAGCTATTTAAATTTTGAAATAATGAGACAAAGTTAAATTTAATAGTCAACCAAACTGCAGGCCAGGTTTCACAGCCGATTTTAGCTAATAAATTTTCTATATATGCTAACTATACGGACATTTTAAGTGCATTCCTACCATTTGTGGCTGTTAGTCATATGCCTATCTTGAATTCACAAGATTGGCTTGTAATAATTATTTGTAAGGATTAACATTTGATAATTTTTCAATAATCAGTTATCTTTTCCATGGTTTCATTACTGCCCAGTCAAATATACTATTTCTCAAAGTTATTTTTATCTAAATTACATATTAATTGTATCGTATTGGTTATGATAAAGGAAATCAAGTAGTTTTTAAAAATTAGTATGAGGTTGTTAATCATGTGTGTGATATGATAATTTACGTATGGGATTTTGTTTTCCTATTTAGAGAAATGAGTCTCTTTAGAATCCTGTTCTATATTTTTTAGAATTTTAGAGTTTGATTTGCAGAGATAATCATCCATTGTTATTATTTTCTATTCTGAAGACTGTGATGCTATGGGATATTGTTAAGTTGCATAATTTCTCTGTGTCTTTTTTTTCCCATCATAACATGGGGAATAGTAATAGAACTTCTTTCTTAGAGTGTAAGACATTTGAATAAAAAATGGGTTTTAAGCATGAAAGTCATACACCTAAAAGACACTCCTAATAATACGAAATGATTTTAACTAAGTCACATGTACAACCTATTTCATATTAACCCTTTGAGTGCCAACCAGTATCCTAGGAACTATGCTAAAATTGCCAAGGCATTTTTGCTGATTTTACAGCAGTTTAGGAAAAAAATTATGAATCGCAAGTACATGAAGTTACATATTCAAAAACTTAAGGAAACCTTTACTACATTGACACATTTAGCAATATCATCGTCACTTATGAAAGCAGACTTAGAACTGGACGCCATTTCGAAGCTTTGATAGCGCTCCCGGCACTTTTGGCGAAAGACAGGCGGGCTCCCCAGCACCTTAGGGGTTAACAAAAAATCAACTAGGAAAATAAGATAATGGGAAGGCTTTTGGTCATTGTTTTGTTTTGTTTTTCACTTTAGAATGTTTGTCAGTTGAGTATGTCTCTCTGCATAACGCTCGCTTGGTGACTGGGTGTCGTATGTTCAATAGTTGAGAACATATATTGCAAAGGTTGCCAAAGCGTCGGCAAAGGGTAGTTTAGCCTCAAATACTATGAAACTAATAAGATGGAGAGAAGCACCTCCCCTTCTTAATGGGCACTGATGCCGAAGCCCTGTGAGTGTGTGTGCTGCGGCTCCTCCCGTCCAGCCCGGCCTCGCTGCTCTCCCAGCTGCCCTGCCAGAGAGCAGGCTGGCCTGGAGGCGAGCACTGACCTGCCTGGGAGCTCAGTCTCCGGCAGCCCCCTGAGTGCAGAGTCTCCGGGGAGAGTGCCTGATGCAAACCCCCGCCCCCTTCCCTGATGGTTTCAGAAGCCCCTCCACCTTGGAGTTCCTTCCCTCCCTGTGTGGCCTGTCTAAGGGCGTTGGAGGAGGCCACTGGGTACTCTCGTGATCAGGGTTTGAAGAGTCGGCACAGAGTTCCAGCTCCGTGTGCCTGAGCTCTGCTAGTTGGGTGAGAAGAGGACGCCATGGCTGGGAGTAGCCATCGCTCCAGTCTCCTCTTTGCTTCACAGCTGACACCTGGCCCCGATGCTGCGTCTTTCCCAGAAGCTTGACCGGTATTTTACTGTCATGGCCTTGGGAGCTCCATGGCTGAACAGTTTCCAGGTATTCAGGGAGCTCTATCTCATCCACAGCTCACCATCCTGTGGTTGTGGTAAATCTTGAGACTTAAAGGAAAAGCAGATAAAATTACTAATCAACCATAGATTGCCTGGGGAGGCAAAAAGCATTCAAACCCTTAGAGCATTGTTTCTCAACCTTCCTAATGCCGCGGCCCTTTAATACAGTTCCTCATGTTGTGGTGACCCCTAATTTCACTGTTACAAATTGAACATAATAAAAGCATAGTGATTAATCACAAGAACAATATGTAATTCTATATGTGTTTTCCGATGGTCTTAGGCGTCCCCTGTGAGAGGACCATTCGACCCCCAAAGGGGCCGCGACCCACAGGTTGAGAGCCGCTGCCTTAGAGGCTTTCCCTGGGAAATGGACAGTGCTGTTTCAACAGGAAAAAAGCGATAGGGATTTGCTGGTAGTTCAGTGCAGCCTGTGTTTGGATCTCCCTGTTACAGCTTTTTCTTTTTCTTCTTTTTTTTTGATCTGACTTTGACAACAGGGTTCCCTTCCGTCTCCATCTCCAGCCTTTTCCTGGGCTCTGCATTGAACTCTTGGCACTGGGTGTTGCCCTGGCCAACCCTTAGGCAGGTACATCCTGAGAACAAAACACTTTCCCCTCCATGTGGCTAGAGCCATCACATTTCCAACCCCCCTCCCCAAGCTCCGAGGGGTTACCTGATACCCACTTAGACCTTGGTCCTGCGAGACCCGAGATCCTGCCAGGACTTTATACTTACTGTGCAGAAAGACAAACATCTACCTCTCCAAGTCAGATTTCCCTGCGTTTTCTATAGAGTGTCTTCCTAATTACTTCTGCTTGAAGCAGCATCCTCAGTTCTTTCTCTCTCTTTGCATAGCACAGTCTATTTGTTGCCCCAAACCGCCCAACTTTCTGAGAATTTTAAACACAATTTCTCAGCTTAAATTTATTTATTTATTGCTTGAATCTATTTCACCATTGTCCTCAACATTCTTTCCCTTCTCCTTAGTAATCCCTCGGCAAAACCCTGTCCGTGGATACACCTGTTTCATGACCGTTACTTGGCTCTGAAACATGGTTCAAGAGGAAAACATTTAACCACGCTGCCTCTCAGTCCTGAGGCACAATATATTTTGGCCTCCATCCTAGGTAACTGCCCTGTTACCTAAGTTAAGGGTTTTTCCATCAGTGAAATGCAGCCATTGGTTGAGACACAGCCAATTAATTTGAGGGGTGACAATCTACATTATTGATGAAGAGAAACAGTCAGTGTATATTACACATAGGGATAGTAAGTATTGTTCATGAAACTTTTGTTCCAGATTAAATGCATAAATTGTGTACCAGTTCACAACATTAAAAAATGTGTCTTGCTCTGGCCAATGTTGCTCAGTTGGTTGGCATCATCCCAGGCACCAAGGGGTTGCCAGTTAGATACCCTGTCAGGGCACATGTCCAGGTTCGGGCTTGATCCATGGTAGGGGGCATGCAGAAGGCAGCCGATTGATATTTCTCTCTTAAATTGATGTTTCTCTAGCCCTCTCCCTTCCTCTCTCTGTAAAATCAATAAAAAAATCTTTAAAAATATTTCTTATTGGAAATTTGAGTCAGTAATTCAAAACACCAATATAGTCATTTTTAAATTTTACACCTACTCTCTGCTCAAATCTCTAATCCACCTTCTTCACTTAGCGGATAACTTTGCATCAGATTTCAGTGACAAACTGAAGCTGAAGAGAACTTGTTTATCTTTCCACCACCCACTGCAACAGACTACCAACAACTGCACCATATACTTTGGCCTCCATCCTTTATAACGGGTGAGCTTCTCTGCTCCTACTCAAGGCAACCTCTCCATTAATGCACTGGGTCCCATGACCTTTTTCTTCCTCAAGATCTTTGTCCGTGAAATTAAACTTCTGTCTCTTACATCATTAATTATACACTCTTGCCTAGATCATTCCCAATAATAAATAAACAGCAATGCTTTATAGAAATAATAGTTAACATGGATATAGTAGTTATCATGTGCCATATCCTGTGATAAAAACTGTACATATGTTAATTCTTTTTATCCTTACCCAAATTAGAAACTATCATTCCATTTTACGGATGAGGAAACTGAGGCACAGCATGTTAAGCTGAGGGTGGCAGTACTCGGGAATAATAGAATCAATATTTGAACTATGTAGGCTGATGTCAGAATTTATGTTCTTAACCACTATGCAATTTGCTTCTCTCATGTGAATAAAACTTGTTGACTTCAAGATGTTCTTCAACTATTGCCTCATTTTCTCTGGTTCTTTTTATAGAAAAACCTAGCAGATGGCATGATACTTTATATAGAGAACCCTAAAGATTCCTCCAAAAAAACTACTGAACTAATAAATGAATTCAGTAAAATGGCAGGATACATAATAAATATCCAGAAATTGGCTGCATTTGTATGCACCAATAATGAACTATCAGAAAGGAAAATTAAGAAAACAATCCCATTTACAATTGTATAAAAAATACCTTGAAATAAATTTAACCAAGGATGTAAAAGACCTGTACTTGGAAAATTAGAAAACACTGAAGAAAGAAATGGAAGGAAATACAAATAAGTGGAAACATATACCATGTTCATGGAAAGGAAGTATTATCATTAAAATGTCCATACTCCACAAAGCAATCTATAGTTTCAATGCAATTCCTATCAAGATGCCAATGGCATATTTCACAGAACTAGAACAAATATTCCAACCACAAAAGACCCCAAATAGCCATAACAATCTTGAGAAAGAAAAACAACATTGGAGGAATCATGCTACCTGATATCAAACTACTACAAGGCCATAGTAATCGAAACAGCATAGTACTGGTATAAAAACAAACATATAAGTCAATGGAAAAGAATGAGCCCAGATATAAAAGCCACTTATTTATGGTCAATTAAATATTTGATAAAGGAGGCAAGAGTATACAATAGGGTAAAAATATTCAATAAATAATGTTGGAAAAATTGAACAGCTATGCAGAAAAAATGAAATTAGACCACCTTCTTATACCATACACAAGAATAAACTCAAAATTGATTAAAGACAAATGTAAGACTCAAAACCATAAACATTTTAGAAGAAAACAGGCAGTAAAATCTTACATATTTCTTGTAGCAATATTTTTCTGATATGTCTCTCTGGGTAATGACCACAAGAGAAAAAATAAACAAATGAGACTACATCAAACTAAAAACCTTTTGCACAACAAAGGAAACCATCAACAAAATGAAAAGACAATCCACTGAATGGGAGAACGTATTCACCAATGATACATCTGACAAGGAGTTAATATTCAAAATGTATAAAGAACTTATAAAACACCAGGAAACCAAACAATCCAATTAGAAAATGGGCAAAGAACATACGGATGGCCGGACAATAGACATATGAAAAGATGCTCAATGTCACTAATCATCAGAGAAATGCAATTAAAGCCGCGATGAGGTGTCACCGCCCTCCTGTCAGAATGGCTGTCATCAACAAACAACTAGCATTGGCTGAGAATTCAGAGGGGAGGAAACCCTGGTGCACTGCTGGTGGCGGGAACGCAGTTGGCGCAGCCCCTGTGGAAAACAGTATGGGGTTTCCTCAAAAAATAAAAAATGGAGCTGCCTATGACCAAGCAGTTCCACCTCTGATAATATATCTGAAGAAAACAAAAACCAAGAATATATGCACCCTGTGTTCATGGCAGCGTTATTGAAAATAGCCAAGATTTGGCAGCAGCCCAGTGCCTCCAGGATTTTCTCCCAATAGACCAGCTTCTCGCACGTCCACGTTTCAGGCTCTGCTGTTAGGGAAACCAAAGTGTGACAGGTGCAAGGAAGAGTGATCTGAGAAAGAGCTGCCTGCCTTTATTTCCTCACCCCCTTGCGTAGTCCTCTGTGGCTTTCGGCAATTATGACTTTTCCACCACTACTCCCCAAAACTCAATTTTTTGTCATCACCAATGACTTCTTCATATTTGATTCTAGGGTCAGGTTTTAAGCCCTACTCTTACTTGATTTTTCAAAATCCTATGCCACAGTTAATACGTCCTTCTTGTTGACAATCTATCTTCCCCGGGTTTATGGGACACCACGTTCATAGAGCGTTCCTCCTCACTCACTGGCCACTCCTCGTCTAGGAGAAACGGGTTCCTCTCTCCCTCCTGACTCTTGCGGTACCTCAGGGATCTATCGTCACTCATTTTCTAGTGTTCTCTTTTAGTCTCTAATTTTTAAATAAAAAAAACCTTAACTTGGAATATGATAGACACCTCAAACTTTGCATGCCCAATAAAAACCCTTGATAGCTTAACCCAAACCAGTTCCTCTCCAAATTTATCCCATTCATTCAATTATTCATTCATTCACTTCGGTTCACACTGATGCTCAGTCCAAAGTCCTGGGTAGGCATCTTGGGTCTTCTCTTTCTCTCACATCCATCTTCAATCTATCAAGCCCTCCTCTGAGGCCTAACTTCAAGTTATATCACAAATCCGAATTTTATAACTAATTCCATCACTACATTGACAGGGTAAGCCACCATCACCTTTGGCCTGAACGGCTACGTCTGCCAGTACTGCCCTGTGCAATCTGTTTTTGTGTAGTGATTTCTAAAATGCATAAATCAGACCTTGCCTCCCTCTTCAAAGTGCTTCAGTGGCTCTTTATGAACAGATGGGATTAAAATGAAAACTAAACTCTTTAACAAAAGCTATGAGATTTTTAAAAAATCGTTGCTTCTTTTTACCACTTCCTGTGCCAGCACCGCTCACTCCACTCCAGCATCCCAGGCTTCTCTCTGTTCTCTGAACACACCAGCCTGTCCTGACTCCCAGGGCCCCATGCTTGCTTTCTCTCAGGCTGGAAGGCTTTTCCTCCAGAGCATGGTCCCCTCTGTCGTTCAGGTCTCCAACCAGAGTGCACGGCTCAGGAAATCCTTCCCGCATGGCCTCTACAAAATGCCCATTTCTCAGGCTACGTTGTCATGGCAGAAATCAGGCTGGGGGGAAGCGACAAACCATACACACTCGGAGATTCAGAAAAGAACTGCTTTATCTGCACGGGTGCTGGCTCAGCGGAGTCCCCTCCAGAGGCTGAGCTCCGAACAAAGCGGGGTTTGGCATTTTATATTCTCCCAGGCTCTTTGTCTCCCCTCTATGGCATATACTTACATTCTAGACATTCTTCCTACGTTACATGTTAAGCTTCCGGGTATCTGTTGCAGTTTGGGAGGAGGGCCGTGACCTGAGACAGCAGAAGCTTGACTGGCAGCGGGCCCTGCTGGAGCAGAAGCAGAAGAAGCAAGCGGATTACAGAAGCTGAGGCTCGGTCATGGGTCATGGCCATGCCCGCAGGGAGGGGGCTTGCCATCTCAATGTAAAGTAGCGTGGGTGTCAGGGCTATTTGGTCTTCCTCAAAGAGGCAGGAAAGAAAACGGGTAGCTTCAGGATCATGCCTTCACCACTGTCAGTTCCATGTGGTGTAAGAACATTTGCATGTCTCAGTTGAGAGTGTGGGATGGAAAGACAAACAGGTAGGAAAAGCATGCGCTAAAGGGAAAGATTCAAAAACTACAACACAAACGGTAGAAGTGAACAGAGCTACTAGTATCTGGAAGAGAAGTCGGGCTGTTTTCCCCCCAACACTGGCATACACTCCTGATTAATTGGTGGAAGCCGGTCCATCCTTGCTGCTTGACACAGTCGCTGCAGGGAAGAAACATCTGTACAGCATATGTTTCAAGGGACCTGGCGTATATGGCATACTGTTCTTAATATGTTTGCTCACCCCCTTAGTGCTATGTGTTTTAACCAAGGTCACCTCTCCGAGAAAGGTTGTTTCCCCAGGTAGGGATTTTCCCCTGAAGTTAGGGAGGGAATAAAACCCCTTAACTAAATGCCAGGCGGGTAGTTAATCACTTTACGAACAATCACCTTTAAGCTACATAATCTTTACTCCCTGGAATGGAGATAAGAAACGCCCTAACCTTTGGAATAGAAATTGACAGGATTAAAATCAACTGGTATAAATACAGATGTAACAAGACAATAAAACATAGAACTTGGCTGGAGATCCTAACCAGAACTTGGCTGGACATCCTGGTTAGAGATCCTGACTAGAGGCTGCTGATCAACTGAACGCTGTCTCCGTGTCATTCCTTCTTCGCCAACTCCGTCCACACCTTTGGGGACCCCTGGACCTGCTGGGGTTGGACCCCAGCAATTAATAAGATATTGCATGGCAGTGCTTTGTCTGAAAGCAATGGAAGCCCCTATCCTTGTCTCATGTTTACTCTGCCATGATGCTAAAAGCCTTACTAGACAGCTCTTGCTATCCTAATGGGAAAGGAATCCCAAAATTACAGGGGATGTTCTTCTTTTTCCCAATGGCCGTGGCCATCAAAGTAAATTGTGAGAACTGTGTCTATTGCCAACAGAGGAAAATCTGAATAACATAGACAGTTGATCTGGAAACAATTTCAAACCCCAAGCCCAAGAGTTAAATATTCTGGTCCTTGAGATGGGAAAGTAAAACCATTGGAAGCTTGCTAGCCATGAATATCTCACTGAGGACAGGAAACACTGAGATTTGAATGGGTATGTGGGAGAAATACTTGCTTGATATATACTTCTGCTGGAATTTACTGAAATCAAGGGATAAAAACAGGCCATAATGACCAGGAACTACAGTCTATTTCCTCATGCCCATCAGGTAAGAACCTAATGAAATACACAAAAATAGCCTTAAGCCTTTTTTGTAAAAGTACCTATTAGATGGCTTTTATAGATGCTATAATAAGGGCTAAACAATGGGGATTGGAGATGTTACCTCTAACTCAAAATGACACTTAAAAAATGAAGAAACTGCATCTTCAGGAAACTTCAAGGCCTGAATTCCTCCAAAATGGGTCTCATGATTTCCTGGGTTTTGTGTCTCTGTCATTGTATTTCAAGATGAGTAAAGAACCCCCTAAAAGGAATTGAGGAGAGGAGCATGTTAGAGGTCCTTGGTCAAACTTGGAGAAAACCTGGCACATGCCTGGCCAGCTGCCACCGTACATACCTCCTCCTGTGAACGGATGAGGTTGGAGAACTGTCCCCGGGAGAGGCTGGTGGGGAAAGGCTCAGAGCCCTGGATTCCCCGGGAAGAATGTGTGTGTCACAAGAAGGGCATGTGGCAGAAAAGAAGATGTTCTTTGACTCACCTTAGGTCATAACTTTGATGCTCATCACTTCCCAGCATCTCTCTGGAGAAAGACAGCCTGACTGTTGGTGCACCGATGACAAAGGGAACATTGAGTTTGGGCGACGTCTGTGTCAAGTGTCCTGGGATGACTACCGAAAGGCCGGCCACCATAAAGGGGAAAAGGTGCCATAGCCATACCCATGGTGCCTGCCATGCCCAAGTCCTTTTTGTCCACCCATTTTGGGGTGACAGGCGTGGTAGGAGGCAGTTCCCCAGTCTCTAGTAGACCTTTGGAACAAACAGTCCAGCAGGTGAGATCAGATCATCATTAGACGATATAGAAGCTGTTCCAGATACTATCTGGTTGCATGTTGGCTTGAGCAGGAAATAACCTTTCCGGTACATACCTGCCTACTAAGAGTGTTGTCAGCACCTCACTTTTTAATGTTCAGGCAGGCTCCCTATGTTGGGGTTGTTTAGCGGAACAGGTATCTGATGTAACCTTACAGAGACGTGCAAGTGAAGACAAGATCACCAGTTAGGGAAGCTTATGACACTGAGAGGTACACAAGTGCGATGCTTGAAAGCAAAGCAAGAAAAGAACCACTTGTTGAGGCATCAGCCTGCTCAACAGCTGATCGGAGTGTAGACGAAAGGGGCCACATGCTGACCTGACAAGCTCAGGGGGGGCCTGCATGGCGGTCTTGCAAACTCAGAGACCTACAGTAACCACAAAGGATGGTCTGAAATTAAACTTTAACTAAAGCAGTTATGGTGGGCAGTTACGTCCTAGGCCAGTATCTTCACTGACAAGGTCAACCTTTACCTTAACTGGCCTGTCTTTTTGCATCTATGATAACATACCCTTGAAATGTCTGGGTGACTTGTAACTTCCCTTTTTCTGGAGCCCCTGGGGCACAACCAAATGTGCTGGGCGCCAGGACAGATACCACAGATTCCTTCATTATCATGTTCATTGATCCTGCACCCACCTAAGTATGTGTCCATCATTTCACTTTTATCCAATCCCAGGGGTTTCCCTGCTTTGCTTTATCCCTCCTCCTTAATCTGTCACCAATGAATTTCATGTAACCCACCTACGTCCCTCCTTTGATTGCGAATGTATAAATACAAATGTAACCCCGCCATTCTCCGGAGCACTATCTCAATTTGTTGAGGTTCTGCTTCCTGGCATATGTCGGCAGTTTGGCTCAAATAAACTCACAAAAATTCTTTACAGGTTTCAATGGTTCTTTTACCTTAACAGGAGGAAACTACCCCGCATCTAGATGTAGAGGGCATGGGACACAGGGCGGGCTGAAAAGAAAAGACATATCAAGATGAGAAATCTTTTTATTTATTTATTTATTTATTTATTTATTTATTTATTTATTTATTTAAATCTTTATGGCTGAAATTATTACATACCTCCTTTTCCCCCCTCACTGACCTCCTCCAGCCCACCCCCTGCCCCTGCCCCAGGCCATCACCACCCCATTGTGTGTCCATGGGCCATCATTCTATGCATACAAGGTCTTTGGCTGATCACCTCCCCCACCCACCCTGCCCCCCCTTCCCTCTGAGATTCCACAGTCTGAAGGTGAGTGAATCTTGAATAAATAAAATTCGTGGATATATAACTAATAGTCAATACAAGAATTAACACACATACATTTATAAATGCTGAACTAAATAATTCCGTGCCCGGGAGGAACTGCTGGGAAAGGCTGCCTCTCTCCTCCTGAGCTAGTTGAGAGGCACTGGAGCAGCAGATCCGCCTCTTCCCCCAGCTGATAGGGAGGGACACCCCCCCCCCCCCCAAAACCCTGGGAAGAAAGGAGGCTGATGCGGCGGTGAATCAGAGTGAGGTGGGGGTGAGTGGCACCTGGGATCTGGAAGGCAGCCCACTCACACCTGTAGCCTTGGCGCTTGGGCAATGCCCTTTGCACAGACAGCTGCGCACACAGCGCTCCGGGGACATGACAACATCAGGACAAACGCCAGCCTCGCCCGGTGGGAGGAGGCTCCCTCCAAGGGAACCAGAGGGAAGGGTTGGAGGTGATTCTAAGCTGAGGAGGACTGAAAATTCACCCTGTGTCAGGCCTTTGTGACTCGGCTTTTGTCGGGTTACTGTAAGAAGCTATCACTCACACAATAGCCTTTTGTTTTTGTGTGGAAATCACCATTCCTTCCGGGCCTGGGAGAAGTCACCAGGAGACCACACCTCCCTCCCTAAAAGGCCTGTTGGCAGAAGACAGCACATGTGTGAGAGCATCTGAAGATCTTGTGGGGGAAGAGGAAAGCATTGTAACAATTCTCAAATCACTCAGTAAGTGGGCCGGCCTGGGAGAGCGCCTTTCTGCATTAGGCGGTTGTCCAGGTGAGACTTCAGCGGAATAACTCTGAGTTTGAGAAGTGCAGTGTCTGAATTTGGTATGCGTGTTGCCCAGGTGACAGTGAAAGGCCACGCCTCTGTGGATGGAAGTGAGTTTTTTCCTGAAGGGATGGATGGTCCCACGGTCAGTCACGCTGGGCAGAAACTAACCCCAGGTGAGAGAACTGGGGAACCAGCCAGAGGAGGAGGAAGGAGAAACTTCTCTTGCCTGAGAGGCCAGGGATCATTTGGGGCTGGACTTGAAGTTCCCTTCCTGGTCTGGACCATTTCCCTGGGGGTGGAAGTAGCCCTGGGGGGGTTGCCCTGGGGAGACAGGAGAGGAGAAGGGCAGGGATTCTGGGATGGCTGTGTTCTGGGCAGCAATGCACTCGTATAGGTTACTCTTGATTTCCACTTTCTGTTACCCCCAAGTTTCCAGCAGAGTTTTCAAATGGCCAAAACGTCATGGCTACTCTCGGGGGTGCTCCTGGAAGGTGGCGGAGGGCCTCCCGTCACACCTGGGACAGGCGGACAGGAAGAGCAGCCCCTCCTGGGACAGGAGGCCAGAGCGGCAGCAGCAGCAGAGGTCCCCAAAGGAGGAGACAGCGATGGGGGAGAGAATCCGGCCGCCACGCAGAAGGGAAGGGCCTCCCTAAAAGAGCATGTGGATACCTGCCAGGCAACTGGCATCTAGAACCTGCCGGCGCTCCTGGCATCCGGGCTCACATTGGTACAGCGCTCCCTACTGTTGTTCCAAGTGATTAGTTCGGTTATTATTTACTGCCCTCTGTGTCCTAAATAATATTCTAAACGTGATTCTGAGTTGCCTTCTCTCAGCAGAGCTCATTTTGTGAAACAAGAAGGACTGTTCAAACCAATCTTTTACTTGGCTGTAAGCTTCTGTTCATCAAGTTCCATTTTCACTCCTAGCACCTTTGCTACAAACATCATGCAGTGGCTCCGGTTGTATTTCTAGGTGCGTTTGAGGAGACTCACTGGCCACACCACTGGTGAGTGGGCGAGTGGGCAGACCGGCACCTGGTGCACCCGTGGGCCAGGCAGCTGGGCTCAGTGGGCCAGGAGTCAGCCCGCCTCCTGGGGCCCTTGGCCCAGCTTCCTCCCAGACACGGAGAACTCTTCTTAGGGATCCTGTTCGCTTTCTGCTGAAAACTGTACAACTCACCTGCATTCCTGAAGTTTTGTAGTTTCGCATAAAATCACTTCCCATTTTTGATCCTTTATTATTGCTGCTCTTTTGCCTCAAACTAAGAAAATAACAGGGAAAATAAGGGTTTTTTTCCCTATATTTTAGGTAGTGATTTCAAATGACTGCATTTGGGGGTTAGGGTATTAAAGACATTTCAGAAAAACTTTTATGCTGTATGATGGCTCATAATGACTTAAAATTAATTCCAGTTTTAATTATATTCAAACTGAAGCTCATGTTTGTTTGTTTTTTAATACTTTTTAAATGATTTCAGCGAGGAATGGAGAGGGAGAGAGAGCTAGAAACATCAATAATGAGAGAGAATCATAAATGAGCTGCCTCCTGCACGCCCCACACCAGGGATTGAGCCCACAACCTGGGCATATGCCCTGACCAGGAATCGAACTGTGACCTCCTGGTTTATAGGTAGATGCTCAACCACTGAGCCACACCACACCGGCCCAGTGGCCAGGCTGAAGCTCCTGTTTTAAAAACATTTGCAAACACTCATTTAACATTTACATGAAAAAGAGAAAAGCAATTTAAATTTATCTCCAAGTCATATTAGAAACATCAATTAATCCCAGGTGAGAACTGGGAAACCAGCCAGAGAAGGAGGAAGAAGAAACTTAACTGCCTGTAAAAATTCTTCTCTAGATTATAAAAAATGCCTTGCTTTTTACTAAGACTTAGACCAGTGGTTCTCAACCTGTGGGTCGCGACCCCTTTGGCAGTCAAACGACTCTTTCACAGGGGTTGCCTAAGACCATCCTGTATATCAGATATTTACATGACGATTCTTAACAGTAGCAACATTACAGTTATGAAGTAGCAACGAAAATAATTTTATGGTTGGGTCACAACATGAGGAACTGTATTTAAAGGGCCAGAAGGTTGAGAACCACTGACTTAGACTAATATTCTCATGATGGGCAAATACACAGGCAATTTTAAGATAATTACTAATACTATATCCAGTTATTATTTATTATTTATACTGCATCTAGAATTTTGCAATACAAATAAAAGTATTCCAAATGTTCTTTATTACATTACTTCTGGAGTATATTTTTGATAACTTTTATTTTGTAGCAGCAAAAAAATGAAAAATTAGCAGTGGTTCTCAACCTTCTGGCCCTTTAAATACAGTTCCTCCTGTTGTGACCCAACCATAAAATTATTTTCGTTGCTACTTCATAACTGTAATGTTGCTACTGTTATGAATCGTCATGTAAATATCTGATATGCAGGATAGTCTTAGGCGACCCCTGTGAAAGGGTCGTTTGACCGCCAAAGGGGTCGGTTCCCACAGGTTGAGAACCGCTGGCTTAAGGTATAGTCAATAGGTTTAACATGGAGTTAATCAGTTTAACAATCTTCTTAATTACACAGCACAGATGAAACAAGGAGCTGATAGCTATCTTAGAGTTTTAGTCACTGGGAAGACAAAAATAATCAGGTCAGGCTCACTCTAGTAGATAACATTAAAATTACTGAAAACTAGGACTACTTAGAACTGCCGTGGGCAAACTACGGCCCGCGGGCCGAATCCGGCCTGTTTGAAATGAATAAAACTATTGAAAAAAAAGACCCTTTTATGTAATGATGTTTACTTTGAATTTATATTAGTTCACACAAACACTCCATCCATGCTTTTGTTCCAGCCCTCCTGTCCAGTTTAAGAACCCATTGTGGCCCTCGAGTCAAAAAGTTTGCCCACCCCTGACTTAGAATGAAGAGAAAAATTTTGAAGTATTTTATTCCTTCAATATTAAGGGAAAGCAGTGTCAACGCATAAACACGATCATTAATGAAACTGCGTTCATTACCTCACCCAACGTGATCACTCTCTAACTGTAGTTATGTAACAGGTATGTAGGAATGTATAGGGTATAAAAAACCCTCACATTTAATTAGCTAACCAAGAATTAAAAATAAGAATAAACTAACACAACTTTTAGTCTAAAATATTAATAGTTTCATAAATGAGCACGTTACAGGCAGCAGCAGTACCAGTTTCCCTTCTCACTGGCCTCGACCACAGAGGTGTAGCAGGTGCTAATGGCTGGCCAGGCCTGCAACGTGTCCCCAGAAATAAAACCCACTGAGAGAGAGAAAAGAAACAAATGCCAGAGGCTGACGCACATGAAAAAGAGCACTGAAGCCACTGAGAGCTAGACTATGAAATTGCACATCCCGTCCTCAGAATTCCTTAGTTCTCCTCTTTCCATGATCCCCCTATAAAAGCCCTTTACCTACCCTGAGATATTAAGATGGCCGTTAAGCCATGAGCCTGTCATCTTCTCAGGGAGTTGGCACCTGAATAAATCACTTTCCTTCTATCAGCACCTGTGTCCTGTGTTTGGCTGCGTGGTGGCAGGCAAAAGAACCTGAGGGTCCTTAGGGCTGGTTCCCGTTAGAACCCTTTTTATAGCTCGAGCGGATGATTCTTCATCCCTTCCAGGATGAAATTTCACTCCTCAGCCTGGTTTGTCTCCAGCTTCTTTCTAACCTAATTCCTAGCCACAGGAGCTGGTCCTGAAGACACTCTTCTTTCCAGGGCATGGAAAGTCCTCACCAGACTCTCCGCAGCTTTGCTGATGCTGTTGCCTTTTCCTGGAAACACCTGCCCTTTTCCTCTGCTGACTCTTACCTGAGCATTATTTCTCAGAGTTCAGAAGGCTGAAGGTCCAAAATCTAGGTGCAGACTGATTTGATTTTTGATGCGACCTCTCTGCCTTCTCTTTGTGTCTACACCTGAGAGGGAGGGTGGGAAGGTAGGAAGGAGAGATGGGGGATAGGGAGAGGGAGATAAAGAAAGAGAAAGAGGAGGTTGGCTTTCCGTTCTCTGGTGTTTCATCTCATAAGGACACTAATCCCATCAGATCATGGCCCCACCATTATGATCTTTCTTAAACTTAATTACTGCTTTATACGCCTTATCTCCAAATACAGTTATATTGGGGGTTAGGGTTTCCACGTATGAATTTAAGGGGACACAATTTAGTTCCCGGAAACTATCACTTATGTTCTAGGAAAGCCACAATCCACTTGTGCTCCTAAAGGCTGGCTGGGCCAGAGGAAACTCTGAGAGGCATTCCCGGAGGTTCTGGGTGAAGGGGAAGGTTTGGAGGATGGGAGGTGCAATGGTGGGCACGGAGAGAAATTCTGAAAGCTTTTCCTGAGAGCGGAAGTGCTCTCTATGCAGAGGCCTCCAGAGGGGAGATGGAATCTCTTGCTGGAGGCCTTGAGCATTTGAGAGATGGGCTGGAAAGGCTGACCATGTCTGAGTCCTGAGAGCTGAGGCCTGTGAGCTTCAGGGAATTCCAACACTTTAGCAATGAGCCTACTGAGGTGACGAGACTGGGATGAACGAAGGCGAAGGCGTAGCACCTGCCCCGGTTAATCTGGACCACCCGAGGGTTCTGACCTGGGAACTTGCACTTGGACTTTGAGGGGCAGCAACACATCCTAGAAGGCGTTCCTTCTGAATCTTGCAGGTGGGGGCTGAGAGGACACGAAATTCAACCGAGGGAGACAAAGGACTAGGGTTGGGAGTCACCTCGCCACTGAAAAGTTTACGGGTCCATGATGGTGGTCTTGGTTCCCTCTCAGACTTGGAGCTGTGTGGGGCAGGAAGTGGGTTTTGCACATTTCCTTTCCACCAGCCCCTTACGCCTGTTTGATTAGGGGCCCGGGCACGTTTGTTGGATGTGATGGTGGGAAAATGGAATAAGGTTGCTAAGAGAGTCCGGAGGCTCTTAACAAAACAGGGCCTCTGCACATCCTGTGCCTCAGTTCTCAATTAAGTTGCTAAACCTGTTGCTAACCTTGGCTCGGGGCTGAGCCATAAAAACCCTGGAACACACATGGCCCTGACCTGCTTGTAGTTTTCACTCCCCTGGTTCTGCATGCTGAAACTAACCAACCCTGCTACCCAAGCCAGCCGTCGGCCATTTGCATGAAATTACATTTTGTGGTTTCTGCTCTGTAAACCCTGCCTTCCCCTGTTCTTTCCACGCGCGGTTTGAGTTGTTATCTTAATCGGCTTCTCTCGGGTTGCAATACTTTTACTCACAGAAATGCCCTTTATGTTTAACACATTTTCTGTTGACAAATGATATTAAATCTGTAAGTCTCCTTTAGAGTGAAGGGTTTTATGTGGTAGTTTCCTTTTACCATAAACCGAAAAATTGCTTCTTAGTACAATCCCCGTGTAATTACTAAATCACTCATTCACATACATATGAGAAAAACACCTTCTTTCTTAGAAGGTTCCTAGGGCCACAGGCTGGGCCCTATGTGATCACGCATGTGCTGGGTGCTTGGAATGGTCAGAGGGCAGAATTTCCTTCCCTTGGGATTAATTCCCGGCAGAGCAAACGCCAGCTTCTTCCTGCCGCTGGGGATCATGTTCCTCCCGGATCAGGGCGTCCGATTGGGGAGGAACAGCGTGTGTCCTGAGCCGGCAGGCAAGCCCAGAACTTCCCCAGGAGTCCAGGGAGGGCCGCGCTCCCCGCGCCCGGAGCGCCCTGCGGGTGGGGGTGGGGTGGGGAGAGGGACCGCCGGGTTGGGCTCCGCAGTGGGAAGAGCGCGGCGTCGGCGGGGAGGACAGGGGAGGCGGGGAGGACAGGGGAGGCGGGGCGCCGGCTGCGCCGCGGGGCACGAGGGCGTGGGCGCGCGGGCCGGGACCCGCTCGTGGGACCGCTCTCCCGGGAGCCAGCTTGGCGCGGCCGCCGGGAAGCGCAGGGCAGGCTCGGGCACCTCCCGGCGGGGATCGCACTTGAGAAATAACGAGCGGGGCGGCGCGGCGTCTCCGTCTCCGGGCCAGTCCCGTCTCCGCGGCGCACTCGCTCGCAGGCAGACCCGCCGAGAGGCCGGACGACCGCACACCCGCCGCCGCCGCCGCCGCACCCCGCGCTCCCGCCCGCCCGATGGCAGCCGCCGGCCCCCCGAGCTCCCTGCGCGGGGCGCCCTGCAGGCTGCTGCTGGCCCTCGCGGTGAGTGGGGGCCCGGGCGGGCGGCGAGGGAG